TTGATCAGTCCAGAATGTCTGACAACCTAACTGAAGCCCAACAGTGAGTTATAATCCTTTCTTGGCCAAAATCAGATTCTTAGCATAAGCAGAATTGATAGGGGAAAACTCTGACATCACTGAAATAAGGAATTGAAAATCTGATGAAATCACATTTATTTTAGTTTGGATTCCTGTTACAAAATCTACAATATTACACAACAACAATTTAAACTCGAGAAGCTCCACTCAAGTAAACCCTGCTGAAAATGGCTTTTTTTGCATTTGTTCAATCACCAGTCCACCATTTTATGCTAAAACTGTCACCCTGTGGGGAATGACTTCCTTCACCCAAATCATGTCAGAACAACACAATTCTTTCCTAAGGGGAAATCTTGCTGGATAATCAAACCATCCATAAATGAAATGCATCAACTAAACCCTTTTTTCTTGCTCTTTTGCAGGAGCACCTTGATTCACGAGAGCATGAAAAAGATGATCTCTTTTGCTAAAGAAGACATTGAATCATTCATTCAAACAGGTCCCCTTGGAGATGAAAGGCCTAGACGAGCTGTTTTGCTCTTCAATGACCGAGTGTACTGCAGTACTCTTGACAAGCATGCCGAGCAAATTGCTCTTGATTCCATTGGTGAAAAAATTGAAGGCATTAAAAATATACTCATGTTCATTAATTACTCCCCCTGTCACATATGTTCTTCCAGAATATTAGATATAGTGCAAAATCATCCTGATATAAAAATTGAAATTAAATTTGCCAAGGTTTTTCAAATACAAGAAATAGAAAATAGACAAGGGTTGAAAGAATTAAGGAAGCATGGAGTCACTTTAAAAGCAATAGAGGGCCAGGACTGGAAAAGCATTGTTGGAAAGTTTCTTGAGCATTATGGGAGGTTTTATTGGAAGGTGTTATTGAAAAGAATTCTAGACAAACATTGGGAATCTGGACAGGAAAAGGTACTCCAAGAAATTTTGGAATGCCATCAGGGGGATTACAAGACAGCCAAAATGATGCAAACTTTCATTCAACACTGGGAGTGTGGATTTAAGAACGTCTTTAGCACAGTCTTCCTGGATGACATGGAGGACAGATGGAAAGCTAAATTAGAACAGATTCTCAAAGATAACTGGAGTGATAAAGTAACGTTACTGCAAAAGATTTGCAAGCACCATGGGAAAGACAAATGGGAAAGCGTACTGTTTCTGATCCTCAAACATGAAGGGAACCACGACTGGAGAACTGCACTGAGAAAAATAGTAGAAACTCAGTTAAATATGAAGGCACCAAGATTGAGGTACAGTCAAAATTTTAATCCAAATACCAGAGAAATGATCGAATATGTTAATTATCGACAGGTACAGGCATGGGAAAGGTTGGGTGGGATTCTCTCTCACCATCTGCAAGACAGTAAGATAAAGACTTTAACGAATATTCTTAGAACGTATGGCCAGTATCATCTGGGAATACTGGTTTTGAATATGTCCGAAGAAAACAGACAAGGTTATGTTTGGTTGAAACTAGTACTCAAAGCGGTGGGTATCAGAAATGCAGCGCAATGGTCAGGACGGCGCATTATTGCAGATTTTCATGCAGCACAAGAACTAGACCAATGTTATCAATAGATGCTCATTAGTAACCTCAGAAGCCATGATTCTTTGAACATAACTGTGATATTTCACATAAGTGGGTTATACTTAATGGTTATTTTAAAACCGGATATATGGCACCAGTAAATGTCAATGTTTAAACTCAACTATGGATGTAGTTTCATTTCGTGAATGCATGAGAATGGGGAAAAACCAGCAGCACAGTGGGAATGTTTCTGGTTGCAGGAAGAGAGCTTATCGGAAAATTCACATAGAAGTATTTGTGAAGAAGTGACAAGGTTCACTTGGAAAGGGAGGCGTGGCTAAAAGGGTAACACAACAACTCTATGGCAGTGATTAAACTGATGAGCAGGATGGTTTAATGAAGAAACTGTCTGTTTATTATACCCAGATAATTAGAAAACAGGGGGTGGTGACTTGCAATTGGCCAGGATACTGTAGCAATCTTGGGGAAACTGTGATTTGTGAACGGAGTGGTGGAGCTGAAACCAGTGATGAAGTCTTGGAAATATATGGAACTGGAAACCGTGGTGAATGGGGAATAAACAGAAATAAATACTAATAAATTAACTGGAATGCACGTACATGTGCCCACAAGACGACAACATAATTGTACATGTAACATTGCAACACTTGTCCCCTATTAAGGCTAAGGTTTGTACTCTAAACTCCTCTATTTTACACACTAACACAAGAATCACCATATGATCTTATACTATAAACACTAAAGAACATATGGCTGTACTCACAATTGTCAGTAACGCACGGTAAGGGCAAATTTGGAGGTATTCTGGTTGGAAATGTGCTTGGTAAACCTGACTTTAGAATGGAATGTACGGTGCGAGAATGAACAAACTACTGAGGGCGCCCTACCAACTATTGCGCGGTCAGTCGACAGTAAGGGACGTTCTTACAGTATTTGCTTCCATTCTTTTATATATTTTTCTCTGTCTCTTTTGGAGGGGGATGGTTCAAAAGTGGCTAATGGGGGATGAGGTGGGTGGCAATCAGTGGTGTAGTGAAGGCGTTTTCGTTAGGTGTGCAGAAACATGCAGAATTATTCTCAGTGTTTCAATAAAACTTATCCTCCAGCCATAAATTATTGATTACCTGGGCAAATTTTGCTGATTGGGAACTCACTTGCAACGGAAAATTCAGAATTTCCAATATTGGAAATATTGAGGCTGCTCTGAAATATTGTGTTTTCTGGGAAAATGCTTCGATTTTCTCACTGCTAAATTTGAGTTTTTAGGACATATTATTGCTTTCTGAGGGCTTATTTGTTTGGTGTACAACAGGAATCTGAATTCTTGGGTTTTTGCATAACTCCAAAGGGAATTTGATATATTTTAAAGTATTAATAATTTCATATTTTAACGCTTGCTTGCCTTCTTGATCAAACTATCCAGATAGTCTTACATTTTGTTTTTCATTTACAGAGTAGTAAACCTAAGTAAGCTTATGCAATTAGATCAAATTTCCCATCAGAACACATGTAATTTCATGCCTTTTACTAGCAGTACATGCGCGCATTTCAAGATTTGGCAGTTACTTATGAAATATACTTGAATAAAAAATAACAAAATGTAAAAAGTGTTGACTGTAGCATGTTACACATTTTCATGCTAAAATTGTTTGGTGAATGGTTACAGGTTCTTTTGAAACAGAAATATTTACAGTTTAAACGGATGTATTTCATTCAGACTTTTCTTTTTGAGTTTTATGTCGACATAATGTTAGAAGACAGCAACCAAACTGTTTCACTGGAATCTCTGTGAAACGATTGAACATTTCAAATCAGTAACCAGCTTTCAAACCAAAAGCTAGTAGAAGACAGCAACCAAACTGTTTCACTGGAATCTCTGTGAAACGATTGAACATTTCAAATCAGTAACCAGCTTTCAAACCAAAAGCTAGTTCTCTTTTCCAACAGCAAGATCTCATTCTCTCTTACTAGTTTTTAATGTATTTTGTACTGAGGTTAGATATAAATTATTTTAGGTATTTACATTGTTTATATTCAGTTTTCACATAGTTAAAGGAATTACAAATTTTAACTGTATTTGTATATCTTTGTAATTGTAATGTAGCTGTTTTAGTACTAATTCTGTAAGCGAACATTTTAGTTACCCGGGTAGAATGTAATGAAGATTCTTGACATAACTTATTATTGTTGAGTTATTGCTTTGAAGTCTCAAACACGTCTGGTTACTCTGGTTAGGTGTTATGATAACATGCTCCAGGTTTCTGCTGCTTCAAACAAATTGCCTGGACAACCCACTACTCTGGAATTTAAATACCAAGGTATCTGCAATCTAACCCATCCTGGCAACAATTTCTGTGAGAACATGAGAATGTTGCAAGAGTAGTAAAACACATCAGCATAATGGACGCTTCATATGAGGGTTGTTAGCAAACTGTAATTTTAGCCTTCATCGAACTCGAAATGGAAAAGAAACACATTGGTAACATTTTGCTTTACAATATATAATGCTGCTGAAATTTTTCTGTAAAATGTCCTATTAGTCATTAACATCCAGTGTCTAAACCATAAATTCCTTTAAAAATCTGAAGACAACATGAATAGTCCTTCAAACATGTAGTGCCTAGGGTTTTCTTTTTTTTTTTAAACTCACATGGAAATCATAACATGTGAGTTTGCCATGTCTACTCTACCAAGCAATGATTTAGCAACCCGACTATGTGTGTAGAGGAAACTTGAAATTACAGCGGTGAGAAATGCGATCCTACACTGAAACCCTGCCCCCAATAGTGATGTCATTGCAAAAAAAACTGAGCAGCTCAGACTTCAATAACAGCCAAAGCGCACAGCAAGCGCTCCTTCAGTCAGCCTTGCTCTTCATCATCAACCACGGAGGGCAAATCAAAAAACTTGCAGGCTACCACAGACTTATAAAAAAGCTTTTCAGCTTCTTTTAAAGGGGGGACTGATTTTAACTCCAAGCCAAATCCTATCATTGCACAGACAAATCTTGCTGTTGCAAGTGCTTGAATGTTTCTGTACATTTCTGGATATGGACATTCCCCGATCACTGTTCTGCAATGAGTCATCATGACGTTGGCAATTTTTGACCCAGACACCATTCTGCACATTTAGTGCTTACATTACTGTTGACAAGGCTCATGGAAGCATTTGCAGACCTGAAAGTCGGTGGTTCCTCATATCACGGTAAGTAGAGCTGATTTATTTGCATCAG